GATACATCGATAGACATATCACAACTAAGCTCTTTAACGGTTTGTGGTCAAGACAACATTTCTGTCATAGTCTTACAAAATGATTCTCCAGAACTTTCTTCAACTCTCTCTAAACTACTTAAGAAGTGTTTGTCTGAGACTTGTTTTCCTGCCTGCTTCAAAATGGCATCTGTAGTTCCAAAAAAACTCCGGTGAACATTCTGACCCCTCCAATTATCGACCGATCAGCCTTCTTTCTGTTATTAGCAAGATCTTTGAGTTTCTTACACCTCATCTTGAGTCAAATAACTTATTGTCAGAAAATCAATACGGTTTCCGATCCTCTCGCTCTACGGCTGACTTGCTAACTGTTGTGACTGAAAGATTTTATCATGCATTAGATGGAGGCGGAGAGGCTAGGGCTATTACTCTTGAAATTTTTTGGTGTTGTTGTTGTTATATTTTTGCTCTTTTTATCATATGTTAAATAAGTATTTCTTTACATTATTTAAAATATAAATATATAATAATGAAAAAATAATGATCGTAATTAAAAAAAAAAGAACGCGGGGACACGTAAGTGACTCGTCGGGGACTCGTCAACTACCACTAAGAAATGTTTGCGTTAAAATTTATAAGGTATTTTCAAGATAAAAGTTAAGTTAACGAAGTAAGAAACTTAAAATACTCCGTTATAGACACAAGATGCGCTATATCTATTATGCACGTAGATTACTGTTGTTAATGATACATATATAGTTTTTATAAATTCATGTTTAAATAGAGGGTAAAAAAGAAGATCAATAAAAATATCAGAAGTATATTGTTAAATCTTCGATTGTAAAAATGAGTTCTTTAAGCTTTCGTTTAAAAAATAAGTAGTTACTTTGATGAATAAAATCCTCAGTAAAATTTTTTAAAACTATTTTATTCCATAAGAATGGTCCGCGATAATCAATACAAAATTTAAAAATACTTATTTGAAAAATGGGCTGCTTAATAAAACTATCATTGCGTAAAATGTATTTATTTTTATCTTTTGATGAATATCAATTATGGAAAGAAATCGAGGAAGAATTGGTTTTAATTTAAACATAAAACAAAGAATATAAAAAATATTAAGCTCATATATATTTAAAGCTTTCTATTCAAATAACAGAGGCTTGGCATGAGTAAAAAAGTCTTTAAAATATATAAGATGTGCTACATGCTTCTGATGACAATAAAGAGATTTAAATTTATTTTTATTTGTACTACCCCAAGCAATTTTTGGATAGTTTATGTGACAATGAATAAATGAGTGATACAATTTTGCCAAAATTCATTTATTTAAAACATTTTTTGCTTTGTACAATATTCCTAGGTGATATATACTTTTTGAAATTTTACTTGATAAGTTTTTTATGTAATTTTTCCATGCAATGTTTTCATCTATAAAAACATTTGGAAAGTTGGTTACTGTTACTTTTTTAATTTGTATATTGTCAATAACAAGTTGAGGCATGTTAATTGGCAGTTTATGTTTTTTGATAAGAGGATGGAAAAAAATCCATTTAGTTTTATCAATGTTTAGAGATAATTTGTTAGTCTTAAACAAGTCAGATATTTTGATTAACTTGATGTTCACGTAATGAAATTAAGGCCAGCGCAACAAGGGGAAGGTATGTCTTTATGTCCTCCTTTTCCCTATCAATGATTTTTTGTTCATTTAGTCGACCTTTTTTGATTAGTAAATCGGCAAATGTTGACCCTTTCAACAAGTCAATCGGCAAATGTCAATAAGGCAGTCGGCAAACTTTAAAAACAAGGTCCTTTTTTTTAAAGTCGTATTGGCACCCCCTCCCCCTATTAAAGTGACACCTACTCGCGCCAGCCCTAAATGAAATAGAGATAGCTTTTGTGAGACATAAATAAATTAGTGTCATCAGCAAACATAACTGTTATTAAATCCGAGACTTTGAATAGATCATTAATATAAATAAGAAAAAGAAGAGGCCCTAATATGAATCCTTGAGGAAATCCGCATGTAATATTTAATAAATTTGAGGAAAATGTTTTATTGGCGTAAACAAATTATTTACGATTAGTTAAATATTTTTTCAACCATTTTAAAACATTGCCTGTTATACCATAATACTATACATAAACATTCTTACGTAAAAAACGTTTAAAAGGCGTTTAAGAAACGTTTAAAAGACATTTAGATCGTAACTTTAAAAAAAAAATGTCCGTAGACAAGGCTTTCGATAAAGTTTGGCATGCTGGTCTTCTCCATAAGCTTGTTTTATACGGTGTGTCAGAGAAAGTTTTTGAGATTATCAAATCGTGTCTTTCTAACGGCTATATTGAAGTCATCTTCGAAGGCCAACACTCTTCTTTATTTCCACGAACTTATATCCTTGGTCCTGTTTTTTTCTTATATATATTAGCAATCTTCCCGACAACCTTACATCTAAAGTAGCTTTTTTTGCTGATGACTCAATTTTTTATTCCTGTCTTGACAAAAAGTCTTCTTATTTCGATCGCTTAGAACAGGTAGCCGATCTTGAATCTGATTTCACTTCTGTAACAGATTGGGGCTCACAGTGGCTTGTAAATTTTAACTCCAACAAAACTCAGATATTTACTGCAAAGAACTATCGTAGTACTATGACATTCCTATGAATAGCAACTCTCTCACTGAGTTCTCTTTTTTACGTCATCTAGGATTATTGTGTACTACTGACCTTTAATGGAAACCATATATACAATCGATTGCTAAATTAGCATTTATTGTGGTTGCTTCTCTTCATCGTGCTCGCCATTTTCTCTCTCCTAATTGCATTCTCTACCTATACAAATCTCTTTTTTGTCCCTGTATGGAATACTGTTGTCATATTTGGGCTGGTTTTTCTAATAATGCTCTTTCTGTTTTAGACAATGTAAAAAAACGCATTATAAACGTAGTTGGACCCGCTCTCTAGGCTCGAGCCTCCCCAGCTAGCACACATACGTTAATAAAACGTTAGAACAATGTTGCGCGTTGCGCTGGCCCAACATTGACCGATTACGTTGTTTTGGTTACATATGTGACGTCGCTAACAACTAAAAAACAACGTTGGCCTAACGTTGTATTTTGAGTCGGCATTGCGTAATATTTTACGTTGATTCAAAGTTATATTTTACGTTGGCGAAACGTTGTATTTTAAGTTGATTCAACATTATATTTTACGTTTGCACAACGTTATATTTAATTTTTATCGGAATTAAATTTGTTTTACATCTTATTATGTATAGATATATGTATATGGCGTACTTTATAACAGGCCTATTCACCGTGCGGATGACTATATAAACTGAAGGCGAATTTTTTTAAACAAAAAACACAAAAAAATAACCTGAATTAAACATAAAAACTACTTTTTAAGAAAGAAATAAAAGTAAACAACAAAATGTATTGAAAATATATTAAAAAATAATACTAATTTTTTTTTTTATTCTATTATAGTTGCAAGCAGTATAATTATTTAAATTTAACAGAAAACAGTTGCTGTTGACCTTTGTTATTTAACGCTAAGTTTTAAGTTTTTGTTTTGGTTCTTTTTCAGACCTTGAAGAATATAAATTACATTAGTTTTTAAAGAAAATGTTTGAAAGTGTAACACCATGATTTTTGTTCATAGTTTAAGGATTCTGATACAAGTAAGATAGGATTCTTATACAAGCATCAATAGATTTCACAAAGAAGATATGCATCTATTATCAGCTACATCGCGAAACATAATATAGCAATATATTACCCATTGACATATTAAATCACCAGGTACCAGTTAATTCTCCACGATTGATTTCCTCAGTAAAATCTCTAAATTTCTCATGATAAAAATATTAGTCATCTAAATCTTCGTCATTTCGAACAATATAACCAATATTTACCATCCACGTTATAATTTTTAATATTCAATATTTTGCAATTAGGTCAAAACGAAATAAGATCATCAAAATTTTATTACATCCTCAACATTGTCTGTTTATCTACTGCTTATTCCATAGGTTTTATGAGATAATACATCCCGACGGGCATTTGTTTTTAAAAGTTACGATCTAAATGTATTTTAAATGTCTTTTAAACGTCTTTTGAACATTAATGTTTAAAAGACGTTTAAAACACATTTAGAACGTAACTTTTAAAAACAAATGCCCGTCGGGATAAGCTGTTGTCATGGTTTTTAAATTATGAGAGCTCTTAGTGAAGTCGCTTAAGATGATACGTTTTGAGACGCTCAAGATGAGATGCAGCTTTTTATTAAGAAATTAGGAAAATTATTATTAGGAAATTATTAAATATTTAAAATATTAATATTAGAAAATAATTATGAAAAGCGCGTTTTTTTAAAGTTGTTCTCAACAGAGCTTTGTTTTGGTATTTCAAGAGCAAAAGTTTTTTTAAAAAATAGTATCGTAAACTTTTGTAAAGATAGGAAAAACTTGTAGTTTTTTATTTTTTATGGTCGAGATAATTACTTTTTACTTTAGTATATTCCATAAAGATAAAATGTTACTTAATTTTTTTTTTGTGTGATCATTTTTTTTTATTTTGAGTTTTTTTGAGTTCCATTAAAAAAAATTCATCTTAGGAAACTGGTTTCCGAAAGCTTGGTTTCCAATAGTTGTAGAAGTGTTGTGCAACAGTTGTACAACAATTGTTGCCGAAACAGTTTAATTCTATCTCCGCAACCTTTGTTTTACAACATAAATTTTGTTGTACAACCGACGTTAAGTTGTGCAACTTACGCAAGAAAATGTTTCCATTATAAAGCATTATTGTTGTACAACTGTTGTACGACATTTCTACAACTATTGGAAACCAAGCTTAAGATGAGATGATTGGGTGTGTTAAAAATAACGCAATTTTTGGTATTAAGATTTTTTTTAAAAGGAACTATTTATTTATATTCTTTAAGAGGAAAAACTAAATTATGACAAACTGCAAAAATAGATAAAAATATTATAATATTTTGGGTGCAAAAAACAACACACTGTTAACATGTCAACTTATGCAACCTTCCCGTATATATTTATAGTATTTACGAATGGTTTGAAATCATTCGTGACACACTACACTATAAACATTTTTTATACATACTATGGTAACACTTTATCTTTTAAGTTTATTTCTATTTTAAAAAGGTTTGGAGCAAATTGCGGCAACATATTTATTTGAACACAAAATTTAGGAATTTTTCAAAAAACAGTTTTTTCTTCCAGTTTCAAGCAAATCTTTACAGCAGTGGTAAAGTTTTTACACAGAAAAATTGTAGGAAAAATTGAAGGAATTGTAAAACTACAAATTGCTGGAATACGTGATCTAAGCCTAAATCTCTAATCTCAACCGCCATCGGCTTAACCATTATTATCTAATCTACCATTATCTAAAGCACCATTAAAAAGAAACATCATGTGCCAGCTTCTGCATCAGCGTCTGGTCGGACACAACCTAAAGCAACTATTTAATCCACTTAAATGCAACTCAATATGTTCTAAATACACATTTTATTTTATATTATATTACAATATAGCATATTTATAAGTGCATACTATGATAAAAAAAACAAAAAACAGTGTAACTAAATTTACCTTTTAATAAGGTCATTTGATTTTATTACTTAGCTGACTTTTGAGAAAACAATTTTCCTAAAAAATTAAAAAACTTGTATACAAATGGGGATTAGCTGCGCATTTAACATATTGGGAGTATGCATTGAAAATAAACGTTTTTTAAAAAAAATAAACAGTTTATTTTGAGAAGAATATCAAACTCAGATCATTGTATATACTGTCCATCGGCAACTACGACTTTCTCCCATCTTTCAGGTAGCATGCGGATTCTACGCTGGAAAAAGTCTTGATCTTTTGAGACAATTCAATCATCGACCCATTTTTTGGTATCGTTATAAGAAGAAAATTGCTCCTCAGCCAGACCATGTGTCATCGATCGGAACAAATGGTAATAGAAGGAGGAAATGTCTGATGAATACGGCGGGTGGGACAATACTTCCCATTTGAGGTTCTCCAGGTAGATTTTTAAAACATTTGCAATATGGGGTGATGCGTTGTTATGTTGAAGAATAACCTTGTCATGTCTTTCGGCGTATTGCGGTCTTTTATCCTTCGATGCTTGGCTCAGCTTGATCAACTATCGTTGATAACGGTCTGCTGCAATCACCAGATGCGGAGTATAAACCTCAAACCATCAATATTCAGTTTCGCTGTCGATGTTGATGGCTCGTCGGGTTTTACCCATGTTTTTCTGCATTAGGGTTGTCGTAACGTATCCACTTTTTTGTCGCGCGAGCAGCTGCTCGCAGGTAAAAAATTGTTTTTCGATGTCCCTCGGTTTTAACTCATACGGTACCCAATTGCTTTTGAATCATTTCCAGTTGTCTCAAATACCTAGAAACTATTGATTAATCGACTCCCAACGTTTCCACAAGCTCTTCCTGTGTCTAGCATGGATCTTCATCAAATAATGGCTACAATTCAGTATCTTTAAACTTTTCCCAGCACCAAGATTTTTTTCATCTTCGAAATCAAAATCACAACCATTGAATTGCTGAAATTATCTTCTGTTTGTTTGTTCTGGAAGAAAATTGATGCCGTATGTTTCCACTATACACTATGCGCCTCAGCTGCTGTTGTCTTTCTGTGAAAGTAATGTAAAAGAGTTTTCCGCAAAAACGGTTTTGTAGTTACGAACTCAGCCATATTTCAAATTTTTGATAAAAACGTCTTTACACTCCAGCAGTTAAACTGCAAACTGATGTTTGCAGTCTAGGGTTTTAGCTTTCATGTAAAATTTATTTCAGCCCGACTGGATGTATATCGCTTTTTTTCAATGCTCCCAATAATTATTTTCAATGCTCAAAACGCTTATTTTCAATGCTCCCAATAATATCAAGCACAATATCAAATACTAAAGATTAGAGACTAATGGGTTTAAAAAAAATTTTTTTATAAAGATTACTACAAATACTAAAGATTAGAGACTAAGGTTAAAAAAATTTTTTTTTTGTGCAAAAATAAACATTATCATCAATTTTCCTAATATAAAACAATACTTTTTGTTTCAGGAAAACTTTAACAATAAAATTTTAGAGTTAACACCTATGGGGGAAGCTGTTTAAGCTGTTTCCTACATCAGAATATACATTAATCAGAGATTTTGAGTTTTTGCAGGCACAGGTATAGAGGGCATTTATACAGCAAAAAAAAAAAAAATGCCTTGAGCATTTTTAAAATTAAACTGCGCAAAATATATCAATACTAATTTTGCAGGAGTAAGTGTGTGTGTGATGTAGTGTGTGTGTGTGTGTGTGTGTGTGTGTGTGTGTGTGTGTGTGTGTGTGTGTGTATACATATATAATATGCGCGCCCTAATATATGGCGGGTCATAACCATAATTTTTTTAAATTTTGAGAAGCAGTACTATGTGGTTTTTATAAATTGGCATAATAAGTTATAATAAACTATTTAAAAAAATTTACACACCCCTAGGGGTTGCATTATACACCACAATTTTCGCATAAAATAAAATTTTTCGAAATTTTTTCATTTAACTTTTATTTAATTCATGTAAAACTAATTTTTAAGTTTTTAGTTATATATTATTTTATTTTTATAATTTTAATATAGAACTTTATGTCCAAATATATTTTGAATATTTGGTAAAGTTCTAAATTTCCAACAGCGATGATACCTACAAAAAGAGATGTTGTAAAATATTGCTTTTATGTACGCAGAAATGAAGATGCAAAAGGCAAAGGGTCAAGTTCTGCTCATGAATGTTACCGATTCGTTACTACAGAAATTGAAAATATATGGCGTATTTTTTCTAACAATCGAAACAGAAAGAATTTTCTCAAAAGTATGTAGATTAATGGAAAAAGCATCCTATTTAAATAAATTTCTAGA